GTAGTATATAATAATGAGATCGGTAGCAACACAATTTAGATATAAAATGTTGAACTTAACTAAAAGCAAAAAGACCGAGATAAAATTAACCAACATAGGCCTAATACATAAGGATTCAAACAAACCGATAAAACATCACAACCTGTTTACCAAACAAAAGCAACAATTAAGAATATATTTAAAATTATATATGAAAATTGATATTGTAACACAGTTCTTCACTTATAATCTGATGAGGTTATCGCCCGTATTAAAACGAACCTTAGTCGAACTTCGAACTAAAACTTCATTTAGTCCTCAACTTCGATTTGTATTCACAAACAATGTAGTCGAAGTTTTAACTACAACTAAAATAAGTCCTAGTTTTAGTTCAGCTGAAGACGGTTGGCAAGACACAACTATCAAATTAACCAATGAAAGGGAATAGAAGGCAGACAAAATTGTAGAGAATATTAAAAAAAACTGCTGTCTGTGATTTGAAAACGTATCCTCATAATTCATAATAGACCATCATTCGCTTAATTAATTTTCTATAATAATAACTATATTAGCTGTTAACATATTACTATAGAGAATTTGAAACACTGAAAATGTGCTTTCTTTGGAGAACTATTATAGCTGAGCCCGAGCGAGGACGGCGCCATCTTTGCTGTTGTTACGGTGAAGCTACGTGACTGCAACAACAGGGGATTTCGTGCGTTTCAGGAACTATAGCAGGTGCCAGCAAAACAGGATAATTTCGCCTTTTAGAAGCTAAACTTAATGTCTCTTTTATTCAACACACCGAAGATACATCAGGCCTACTTATACAATCGTTTTTATTCTATTCACTCTATCGTGAGTTATAAAAATCACGTTTTTGGTGGGGTAAGTTCCCTGGGCTGACTAAAAAAAAAAATCCCCCTGCGGAGGTATCATTTTAGTCGAGGTTGGCGTCATGTACTGTAGTCGTAGTGCTAGTCGAATTTCGTTTTAAGAATACGAAATAACGTAATTTTTAAATTTTGGCTTAAACTATGTCTAAAGTTCGTTTTAAGAATATCGGAGTAAATTTATAAACATTTAACAATATGAATGATAGTGGCATCTAGTTAATTACAACAAAGAGTATAGAACTGTAACAAGTCAAACTCTCGTGGTTTTGTTGGAACGTAATCCAATTTCAAAAAGTACTGCTACGAAAAAGCGTACCCTTCAAAAGACGAGTTTCGAGCGAACTCTATTTGAATTCTGATAGGGTGTCCCATCTCGTGTGCAGTAGTTTTCGCGCCGCACCTTTAGGCTGCAACGAGCAAGAGGAAACAGTCATTAATAAGAAACAGTAGGTAATGGTAGCATTTACTACCAAGAAATGGGAATTCCGAAATGGCAGTTACCAAAGAATGTCCGCAAATTATCTATAAAACACAGTGAGCATGCGCTTGGAAATGATAAACAGCCAGTGAGCATGTGCAATGAGTAGGCCTATGTGACGTTGTCGAGCCATATCGAGCATGCGCAGTTGGGTTACCAAAAGGACGTCTCAGGAACTAAATAGCGTCAGTAAAGACCGGGTATCAGTACCAAAAAAAAAAAAAACGTCTCAGGAACCAAATAGCGTCAGCGAAAAGGGTATGAAATAGAAATGGGAAAAATCGAACTGTAATGCAACAATGAGCGTGCGCAACTCAGCTAAAGCGATCAGGTTATGGATGAAAAATAATAAGAACTCGGGTCTAAAAGCCTCTATTTTGGCTATCTTTACAGTTCGTCAGGGAGAATTGTACTGTATTAAATTATCGCAAACAAAAGTTCATTTAGCTCTATCGTCGTACCTGCGTACTTAGGCTTATGCATTGACAATCCGATAAAAAATAACCACAGAAACTGACGACACAGCCCCGGAGGCCTAGGCCGGCCTAGGGCATATACTACTCAAGTAGTAGTAGGGCAAGTCAGTAGTAGTAGATCCAGGCTATTCCACATTCGTTATGTCGAGAGATAGAGGGTTAGGGTTAACTTTTATTAATTTATTATCGAAATACCGTACGGTATCGTACCCATGCTCTATCGACCCGTCAAAAAAGCCACACAGAGACGGCAGTTAGTAAGTAGAGAAGGGCCTAGCCAAGCTAGAGGGGAAGGAGGATGAATAAAAATAAATAAAATAATATTAAAAATAATTAATAATATTATTATTAATAATAATATTAATAACAATAATGGTAAAAATGCAGTTTGGCTTAGTGGTTTTCATTCTAGTTTTTAAACTTGTAGTCAGCAGGAGGTCGCGGGGGCCTATACCCCAAATTGCATTGTTGACAGGCTGTCAAGTGGCTGATGTTTCAGCCCAGGTGCAAGCATTTTCATGGCATATAAATAAATTGTAGGCCTAGTTAAGTATTAAATCTCTTAAAACATAAAGCAGTAACAGGATGGAGACCCCATGGATGGCAAAATTAACAAGGGAAGACAACATAAAAGATGAAGAGATGAGATTGATATGAGATTGATTTTGAGGCAATCAATACGGTAATTTAAATGTCATGGTATATCGGAAATGAAACTAAAATAATATTAAAATATGGCAATAGAAACCAAATTAAACAAAAATACCCTTATTAATTTATTCACAATTGTAAATACGCTAATTTAAATTTCATGGTATTTATCGGAAATGAAATTAAAATAATATTAGAAATACCTCGTTACATGCTATATCCTTTGGAATTTAAGTTTAAGTAACATAACAAAATTCACACATAAGACAACGGTAAAGATGTTGCGGCGTTTTTTTATAGGAAATATTTTTTGTTTAAGGTTTCATTGTGTGCATATATAAAATGAGAACAGTCGGACCTCTTACAGTTCTATAGGCCTACTCTTTGATTGCACAAAGTGCCGCTACTTGATTCGAGTCAATTCGACAGACAAAACATATTTTAAACATTATTCTATACAGTAGACTCAGAACTTCTTAAGTGTTACTTTAAACAAACCACTTTTTAACAATTGGACACTTAATACCTTTTTTCTTACATTTCGGCAGTTCGTTTTTAAATCTTTTTAGAATAATTGTATTGCCTTGTCTAAATTTTTAGAAAAAAAATGTTATTGTCTCACTGTTTTTATTATCACAAATCTTGTATATTATTAAATTATGTGACTGTTAGAAGACCCTTTAGTTTGATTCAGTTTGCTGTTGGGAATTCTGTTTCAATTGTTGTGTCGTTGATTCTGTAATATTAATCTATGTAAATTTTTTAGACAAGCCATTTCTCCTAAATAACTAGGTTTGATTAATTCTGTCATAACTGATTATACATACCGAATATTTGATATCTTTATCTTTAAAATAATAACACAGAAATAGGCCTACATCATGTTTTAAGTCACTTTAACAGTCCTATCGATATCACGAACGCCCGTTGATAAAGATTTATAAAATGGGATGGATTTTAGTGTACACCACATATCAAAACAAATCGAAAAAAACACATGTGTTGATGTTTATAGACAATGTAGCTTGAATTACTATAGATAAAATTTTAATCAACATAGCAACCGATATGCTTTCATGTAAGATAGAACACTAGACAACACAAAATTACAGTATCCATAGAAACAAAACAAATTCACAAAATTTATTGTTTAGTTCCCTTAGGCCTACTACATGAAGTTCAATATTATTAACATCATCATATTGACATATACAAAGGTATTAATCATTTTAAGTGCCATATTATGTCATAGCTAAAGACTACTTCATGTTTGAGTGGTCTAAATGCTAAATCACTATAGTGTAATATTACGTATGGCAGTTCGCCATGTAATGCTCAAGTTGGTGTGCCCGATTCCAATGTATGTTCCGGATGCAAAGACTGGATCTTCACTATGATTGTAGTGATATGACAAGCGAGATGGTTTACTTTTAATAACTGAACTGACTACATCTCTTCTGGTTAAAATGCAAAGCGTTTATTTACTATTCTACTGCATGATACAAATATATACAAGTAGAGTTGTGAGATGTAGTGTTTCCTTCAAGGTATCAGAAGGAAGTCCTCTCTGGATAACTAATACAAGCTTGTATTTCCTAATTTTCAATAATACGGAGTTTTCTCAATCTTACAAAAACGATAACGAATACGGTTACGTCATCAATTTTTTTAGGCAACCTTTCCCCTAAAGCAGAATTACTGTATCACAACGTAAGCGATTCAAGTCTTTTGCATTAATCAGGTTTTCTTATTTCTTATCACGTTCCATACATTTATTTTTAATCCCTCTATCTTTTTAGAGAAATATTTTATTGTCGTTGTTGCAGATATACCTGAATGGTGACCAGTGGGATATAATAATAATAACTATTTATAAAGCGCCAATTCAGAATTTATCAAAGGCGTGAAGAAATGAGGAAATAAAGCAAGTTAACATAATAAATAGGTTTTAAGATTTTTCTTTAAAAAAAAGCAAATTAGACGAATCGCGAACTGAAAGCGGCAAGGAATTCCAGGTAAAAGGGGCTAAAAAGTGTTTGTTTTGCCTTTACGAGACGGAATTGTCAATATGTTTTTAGATGAAGAACGAACGAAGATGGCGAAGAGGAATATAGTAGGTAAGGTGATTTAGTAAATAGTATGGTTGATGACAGCTAAGTGCCTTGAAAGTCAACAAAAATAACTTTAAAAATAGCGCGTTGATTTATACTTAGCAGTGCAGATATTTCTAAGATGGGTTTTATGAGATGATGACGAGGTGTTAGGGAAACAATATAGGTTTTACTGGTATATGCCATCTTATTTGTTCGTACTATATTTTTGTTATTGATGTGAGAATCTGAATTGGAATAATGTTATACTTAAACTTGAACTTGAAATAAAGATGTTGACACAAACAGATAAAAATATTGGATACAGTATGCTAAAATATCAATACACACTAACACGAATCTACAAAATTATTGAACGGCGTTTTCACACACTGTGCGTTCACTAAAATACCGAATATTACTTGCTACTTTCCATTGTATTTTACTAACGTAATTTTAATAATAAATTCTCTTTTTTAGTGTGACAACTCCGTTCAATAATCTGTAGACTCGAGTTGGTGTAAAATTGTTATTTTACGATATTTTAATTGGCATAAATAAATGAACACAGAAATTATCTTTAATATAGATGAAAATGGAGCTACGATATTTTCTCATGTTTGTGCAGGCGTCTGGGAGCTAAAAAGAAAATAATTGCCACGTTAAATTGAGTTGCATTTAAGATTCCACCTAAATCGATGACTCATTAGTAACAATGCTGATAATAATCCATCTTCTATTTTCGCTTATGTACGGTAGATATGTTTCATCTTATAATAAATTATGGCGATGCTAGGAATTTCTGTCTTGATCGTTCTCTGTATGAGTTGCATCACCATTTGTGCAGGAAGTACAGGTAGGAACATTTTTAAATATAATAAAAATTGATTAAATTAATCAATTATATCATTATGAAAAAAATGTGTTTAGCGTTGGGTTAAGCGTTAAGGGACGTCTGCGTCACCTTAGAGGCAATTGCGTTTACGAGGCTTAAAGCAGCGTATTTCTTGCATAATATATTGTAATTATCATACTTTTTAATGTGAAGGAAAAAAAAGAAGACAGAAAATTCAAATGATTCTGTCGGCATTTTGGATACATTGATTTTGTCGATGATATTAGGTCTACTAATGCATATTAAATCCATGTTGATGTCATGAATTACAAAACTACTTGCATAGTTTTGTAATTTTTACATGCTTCATATGCTGTAACTGTGTCTTGTTAAATGATGTAAGCAAAAATGGCTTTAAAAAAATGATCCCTGAAAATTTGGCCCTGGAAAGAATGGCTCCGGTAGAAATGGCCCCAAACGACAGGTGGGTAAATATGGCCCCCAATAATATAATTAATTAATGAAACTGATTTTTTTTTTTAACATTTCCCAACTATTGAAATTCTGCAAAAATAGCAAATATTAAATCAATAAATCAATATAAATTGATGTTTAGTAGTCCATGTGTTTTGGTAATGATTTATGCCTATATCTTGTTTATTTGAGAATAATTATTTATTTAGGAAATAAGTACAGAGCACCTTCATTGTTTATTAAAGTTTTAGTTTATTTTTAGTAATAAAATCTGATTTATATCTAATCTAGTTTAAATATAACTTTTAAGATCTAGTAGTAACATTTTGTTTAAAAAGATGCTACAGGCCTTGAGTCAAATGAGTAAAAAAAATATGTATTACATACTTTTTTAAAATCTATTAACTGTTCATTAATTTTTATATAATTACTGAATAATGTAATGTAAATGGCAACTTCTTTGACTTAAGACTTTAAAAAAAAAACTACTGTAAATCATTTTATTTTTAAAAAATGATTTATGTTGATTTAATTGTTTTTTTTTTTTTTGTTTTTTTTGTTTTTTTTTAAGCATTTAAAAAGTTTAATTTTCAGTGGTACATACACATATTTAATTAGGTCTCTGTGGTTGAAGCCGAAAATCGATGAAAATGATAAAAGATCATGAGAATTGTTGGCTCTTTACTTTAACTATAATAATAGTGATGATGGTAATTATGAATTTTACTATATAAACGTGTCATTTCCGGCCATCTACAGGTAGTATTTCCACGAAATGTCTCATTTCCCCCTACCGCCAAATCGTACATCCGCCCCTCCATTTGTGGTTATTTTTACCTACCTGTCATTTGGAGCCATTTTCCGGGGCCAGCCATTTTTCTAGGTCCTTTTTTTTCAGGGGCCATTTTTCCGGGTCAAATTTGCATACTTACTAGCCATTTTCTTAATAATGATTATTCCCTTAAATTAATTCTTTCAGCTGTTTCTAAAGCCTCAACCGTTTCCGCCAATCCCTTCTCGTTTATAAGCCTATAAAGTTGAGAATAACTGCATCCCCCTCGTACTCGACTACCATCCCAGCGTCTCAACTTAAAACTGACTATCACATCCTCAATAAAGATAATTAAAATTGCCATCTTTTCAAAGACCCTACCCCTTAGAGCTAAAAGACAACCCCATAATCTTCAATCTGTTCTCTCGATGACAGTGGCTATTGGATCGCTTGTGGTTACTGTAATTGAATCGGAGGTGAAATTTAGTGCTGGTTTCTAGTATAAAATTTTACATTGTTGCAAAATAAAATGTAAAATAACGTTAAATGAACCACAAGTTAGGAGAGGGGAGTTAGTAAGACTGGTGTTGTAAATATATCCCAGTGGTGGATCGAGGAATTTGAAATAGAGGTGGCCCAGAGGGCGACTTTCACAGATGTTACTCTTTGACTCAATTTTTTTTTTTAATTTGCCCCCCACCCTTTAATCCTCCGTTGTCTCCGAGGTGCACATGCAAGTGCATACTTGGCAACTCCACTGGTTTCCCACTAGCTTGTCACTTCAATCTCCCTCATCATAGCATTAATGACTCAGATTCATTTTGATTGATTGCAACTTCTCCTCTCTTTCCTATAGACGCAAAGAAGAATTGAAATGGATACTTACAACCAAATATCACATTAACGGTTTAAATAAAGACAAAAACTATTTGAATCATTTTAGATTTAAGATAAAAAATATATTGCTTTAATGCACCAAAGTTTGTATGATAGACAGCAGAGGTTTTTTTTTTTTTTTTTTTGTTAGTTATAAGAAAAATGTATTACGTTTTACAAAATAAACGATTCTGCTAAGCCCTACCCCTTTTATATTTTTTGCAAAGGTCCTACAAAAACGATATTAGGCAGTTTTCGCCGCACGACGTTAACCTTAACGTTAACGGATGACGTCATAATGTATTCATCTTGCGTTGCGGTATACGTTAATTTCAGTATTTTACGTGCTCGACGTAACACATGCGTATTTCGATTTGTTTGCAAAAGGGGCGGAGCTATCACGCTGCATGTTGGGTACTAAAGTTAAAGTTAAGTTTAACGTCGTGCGGTGAAAACTACCTATTGTAATATGCAAACAGTTCGCTTGTGAGATAACACTTGTGTCTGTAGGATAGGTACGTATTCCTTGCCCTGTTGTGATTCGTTGTCAGTTATTTCAAAAGTTTGAAATGACACTCTGAAAAGGTTCATTAGACCTAGTTGCGTAATACAGCACCTTATTAATTATACCTTTTTTATATAGATTGTAACAGTGGACGTCACCTGTATCATTTCATTCATCTGCCGGATGGTGCCAACCTCTTCAGCGTTATTAAGAGTTTGGATACCGAGCATGTAAACTTTTTGTTCACGTCGGATATTTCGAATGGCGATTTAATTGACATTGAATTGAAGACAAATTCTCAATTATTCAAGGTTACCGGTGGAGGTCAAAATGGAGATTATCCCTTCAGTAGTCCGCTTGATAAGATCGAAATACTATATGGAACTGGACGCATCGAATTCAACCACGAGAACGGATCATCAATATTCCAATTACAAACTGCCTCTAACTTAAGATTTTTTTGGTATTACAAAGATTTGCAAATTTTAGAGTGCAGAATAGGTAAGGCCACAAAGTCTCTTTATACATTAACAAACTAGCGGCAATAAGGGAGCTCGGTAAATGTTTCGAATAAAAGGTTCAGAAAGCGGTCTAGGGGCAAAGCCCCCGAAAATTTTGACAATTTAGGGGTTTCAACGGCTTATTTCAACGGCATTTTTTTCATAATTAAAAAAAAAAGTTTTGTATTAATATACTGTCATTGTTAGGACCCTTTGGTCTGGGAGTGAAATTTCAAGGAATCTAGATTTGCTACATCCTTAGTTTATACTTTCATTTCCAACATTAGTGCATGCTAAAGGTGGGTGTTGAGACTCCTGGTATGTTCTCCCTATTTTTTCAGAATTTTGCAATAAAGTATTTGATCTACTAACAGTCTAATAGTGTTATATCAGGCCATAGATTTGCCAATGAAACCCTGCATGTTTTCATCTTAGCCCAGTCCCAACCATGTATACTGTAATATTTGAGAATGCTATTTCTGGAACTTAAAGTTTAATCCATCCATTTTTGTTTCGCCGCACACCCAGCCTGACGCGCCTGGTACTCGCCCCTCCCTATTTTCTCCCCAAAACATACAAAAACATATTTGATATAATTAAAAATTGAACGGCAAATGTCAAATTAATACAATTTAGAATAAATATTTTAAGTCTGCGAATGCAATTTCTGGGCATATAGTGTAGTTTTTTTTTTGTGTTTTTTTTTTTTTGCCTCAGTCACAACCATGGTGGTTTTGAGGTGGGTGTAAACTTTTCTGGTATTTGCCATGTTCTCTCACTTTACGTACCGTATTTCAAATTAAACGTCAGCAATACTGTTAAATTAAGACACATGAGTTCAATTCCAACCGTGGTGGGTTTTGACTAGGTGGGCGTGGTCATTCTAGTACTTGTTCCCCTCTGAAATTTGTTAACCCCCTTCCCCGTTTGAAGATAGGATGCTCAGCTAGCGTATTCAAGGTGTAGCTTTCTGTTTTGTATTACTCGATGCCTTTTATTGATAGGATATTACGTTTGGTTTTGTTTTTCTCTCATTCTCCTTTTAAAGGCTTTCATCAACACTGTAGTGTGGATCAGCCAGGAATCACACCTACTCAGCCGTTCGGGGTGGATTGTGAACTAACTGATTGCATTTGGAGAAAAAAGGGTGATGACCTTGAGAAGTGTAAAACGGATTGCACACACACGATCGCAAACTGCACAAACTATCTCAAACGGTATGAAAATAATAGTGAAAACACTCCTCCTGTCCACAATAATCCATCCTCTGTCCCCAGTGAAATGAACCCAGAGGGCAGTGGACAGACGCGGGATCATGACGACAGTACTAAGATGGTTTCTACAGCAAACATGGAATCGTCTGAGCCGCACGCGACAACACAACACAATACGTCGGGAGATCAAAGCGAAATCACTAATACGATCGGATATCATGTTACAGGGGATAGTGCCCTGGTTAGTGATTTGGAAACAGATGAAAAAACAGTCTCTGACAACACGGACAACTCTGTTAGTTTTCAGCATCAGGAAATTGAAGTAATAAGTACGGAATATCACAGCACACGCGGCGGAAGGGTGACAGTATCGGATACAAGGACAGTGACAGGTACATTATCTAGAAACGTATATTGTCTATTAGTCGGGGCACGCTGCGTTGTACGACCGTCGCGCGGCCGACAAAACTTCGACGCGAGGACGTCTACTGATTGTCGGCGGCAGTCTTAGCGAACCGTCAATAATTATACAGATATTGCCTGCTTAGAGGTGTAACATAACATTTGATATCCCCGAGAGAAAAAAATATAATTCCCAAGGGGATACCAAATGTTAATATTACACCGATAGAAAAGGCAATATCTGTTATATTACATAGCCAAACATAGATCGTTTAGCCTAAAATTCACCGTCCTTACCTAAGCGTAGAATGACCGAAAAACGTAACGCGTTGAGCTCCGTTGTGAAATTTTCAATATGAAATTAGACCTAATTTGATGATTCCTTGGCCTTACAATATTCACTGAGTGGGCCTACATTAACGGATGAATTCACAACAAATTTTGTACACCGAGAACCCTTTTCGTCAATAATTCTATCCAATTCGTCTTCTTCGAGAGATTTAAACTTATTCGAAGTCGCCATTTTCGAAGCGCTAGGCTTTCCACATTCACAATTCATGAGCGATCGATCGTGCGCTCGACTAGCAATTCACTACGGGCGCAATGCGGGTGTAATCCGGTGACGTCAGAGACCGGTAACTTTTCAAAGTTATATTTCCCTACGGGGAAGTATAACGTTTTCGATCCTCGTAGCGCTAGTCACATGATGGCATTTCGACCAATCACGTACTCGTATTTACATAGGCTATGTAATATAACAATCTAATACACGCGCATCGTCCCATTACATTATCTTTAAGCTTGGTTTCAATAAAATCGCTACACAGTCGCTACAGCGTTTTCACTGCAATTCTTGCACTGCGTAGCTGTCCCCATCACAATCGGGGAGGCTCCCTGATTCAACGGACAAATCAGAGTCATGCAACGGAGTCGGCGATTCCGTGTAGTGATTTTATGGAAACCATGCTTAAGACCTCCTTGTAAATCGTGAATACTCCCCGACGATTTGACTGACCAATTAGCATCGCCAAAAATTGGTACGGCCATGGCATGTTTATAGCAATTTTATGGAAACAGGGCTGTATACCATCGCGTCGGCCTACGACCATCTGCACAGTGTGTGCTTGGCTATAATGTATATCCTTTTCCTTTAATTACTTTATTGAAAAAGCTTTTCATCATCATTATCACCATACTCATTATCATCATGTCATAATAATATACTCAGCAGCTTCGCTAACATCATTGTTATCATCATCATTATTATTACTAATATAGTATTATTATTTATTATTTTTTTCATCATCATTATCAATATTAATGTTATCGTTATTTGTAATTTTTGTTATTCTAAAAATCATCATAATTATTATACTTACTTTAGAATACTCTCCATTTTGTAGGAATAATGACTACCGATAAGCCTATTGGAAGCGGTAGTGACACGAATGAACGAACAACAAAAACAGATGACAATATCGGGGCTGGTAGGTTTCACTCAAAGCATTATGCATGTGTTATAACTGGTTGCGATTTACCTGTTGCTTAAATCACCATCTTCAACGATAATTATAATAACCACTCAACGTCATCATCATTGGAAAAGACAGAAAATAAATTATCTCGGAAATCTGTCTTCTTGTTGTATTCCATGTTTCAGAGATAATTATCTTGCACCCTCGGAAACTCCGAAAGTCACTTTAGACTTCCGTTCGTAAGTGTCTTATTTAGCTTCTTCTGTAAAACAGTACCAGAAAGGACCACCACCAACTAACAACACATCAAATTATCTGTATACCCATTCGCTAGATTCCGAAATAAATATAATAAAGCCTGGACTCGGGTGAATTGGAAACTACTATACGCCGACGGGAGCCATTCGGCTCTTCTTAATGAAGTGGCGTATTTAGGGGTAAGCGAGGGTAGTAATGAGCACCCACCTATTTCGAGACTCCTACATATGCCAAAACTAGGAGAGTCAAGTCTTACGAGCGCATTATACTGGGGCCAGGAGGCCGGCAAGGAGCCCCTGCAGGCACCAGAAAATTTGTGTTATTTTACGTGAAAAAATAGAATTGAGAGGTTTCACCGCGTTAATTTCTATAAAACATTTAACAAAAAAAATCAGCCTTAACGCAATGTGTAAACAAGAAAAGGTACAATGATTATATAATAGTAGGTCTTAAAAGCAGGCATGTTGTTTTATTACACTGCAAGCATTTTATTGGACATGAGAAAGTGTAGGCCTATTTATCTTATTATCGCTTTCATATCATTTCCTTTAATAGTGTTTCGCCAATAATATGACGCAGTTAACGGTGCACCGTCACGCGTCTAATTTTCGATAATCTGATTGTATTTGTTGTCAAAAGATATTACAACTTTTTAAGGTGGTCGCTTACGGGAGGTATATCATAAGAAAAATCCAAAAGTCAAAAAGTGTTCGCGGTCGCTTATTTAGTGATGGCTTACGTAGAAGTGTCAAATGCATTGATTAGACAAACTGGACCATAAGAGTTGACGTTAATGGAGGTGATAGCTTACGGGAGGTTGTCGCACTGGGAGGCTAAACTGTACTATACCAGGGAAGAGTTAATTTACACTCTTCCCTTATCATGCCAAATAGTATTGTAATAAATTACAATGTTTTCATTTCCTACTTCGATACGGGCAACCAGGGAGTTAGCATGATTGTAACAAAACTAAGATCTCATATAAGACTACACCGGTTACAGTACCACAAGGCGTAACGCCTATGGGCTCTCGGGGCTGGGGGAAGTAGCCCTGTGGGCCTACGATCAGCACTCTTTGAAAAGAGCCGTGACAGTGTGGCCCAATAGAAGACACCAAAAACTTTCAAGTTAATACAATGTAATACCAAGTGTTTAAATCACGAAAATTTTATTTAAGTAGACTTTTTTACAATATTCAATTCCTTTTTCACAGCCAAGCTCTACTGCAAACTGGAATTTAAATAGTCCGAAATAATTAATAAAGGGCTAAAAACAAAGAATTCAAATTATATTATAGTACCGGTAATAAATATACGCTACTGCATTGTTTGATATTCCACTGAAGGGGCCCTATGTAATCGATAGTACTAAAATGCACGAGGCCAACACATTATTTAACGTTCAGTGTTATGGTTGCCATTATGTGTATTACATTGTTATTGGACAGTGCATGTTTCGTATTAATTCATACAATCAATAAAATAAAAATAAACCATCAGGTATGATAATTATCATTGTAGGTATTCATTGGACTACAGGTATTGTTGTGCTGGTGATTTTTACTGGAGCTGCCGCTATCGCCTTTGTCATTGGCTGCATTTGTATCTTGCATGGCTTACTACTGAAGCCTAAGGAAATGCGTAAAATCGCTCCTGAAGAGACGATGATGAAGACAAAACATATGAAAGAAAAAAAGTAAATACTAAGCGCTTAATAAAGTTTATTTTTATTAATTATGACAAACGTTCAGTTTTACATTATTCAGCAAGCAACAGCAAACAAGGAGTAAAATTGACTCAAAACATCATACAGTTCACTCTCCATACGACCCCGCTAATTCCAAGACCACTTTTTAAATGTACCAAGTAACAGTCTTTAAACACAAAGCTAACCCTGTTTTGTCTCGCATATAAGGGCATTGCAAATGCTCGTCCATAATAATAAGTTCATTGTAAAACCTTTTTAAAAGGGTAATATAAAAATTATCTCTGTCAAAGAGATTATCATAGCATTAAACCATAGAGACAGTATACTATGGGCGCAAATCTAACCCCAGGCGCATTCTCTCATACAACTGACATACGCTCACACAATGGTGAAGCTTTTGTTGAGCTAGAATATCTTATAGGTTACGGCAAAGCTAATCTCATTAATTATAGCTATATATTGTATAAGACGATGTGTATAAGAGACAGGTGTGTACTTGGCTTTACTGTATATCCTTTTTCTTTAATTACTTTATTGAAAAAGCTTTCATTATCATAATAATATACTCAGCAGCTTCACTAACATCATTGTTATCATGTGTATAAGAGACAGTATATAGGAACAACTTTGGCGGATTTCCAATCCAGAGGAACGCATCCAGTTTTTAAAGATGAGTTAATGGAATGAGTAAGCGGTCCCACAATGATCGACGATCCATTTTTCAGAAAATGTGCAGGTATTGAGTACAAGCCACACCTTTAATCACATTACGATTCTGATTATTTTCATTACCGTATTCGCGTTGACTTCTTCAAATTTAAAATCACCCTCATTGACAAGTGTATCTCTATAGTAGTTTTGAACGTGTTTTTGATTGTAAACGCCAGGTGAGGGAGGAAGTTTATTTACCAGATTAGTAGAGATATTTACAAAAATAAGTTATAATAACTATGCAAATATGCGTTTTTCAACAGTGACACAACACTATAGATGACTGCGTTCAATCTAAAGCAAGAAAGGATAATTTTCAGAAAAAAAAATCACAGACTACAGACTGCGATTCCGCTTCCCGCACCATCATCCCACCCTCCCACCTAAGAAAAACGAGTGTAACACATTTACAAAAACATAAAGCAGTCGCTCCACAGATTGCATACGGTACCTCCGCCCTGGGCCTGAATACAATACTAACAAGACGCAGGCCGTGTAATTGGCGAAACTACAGCTTATCCTCAATGAAATAATGGCTTTGCCCTTTGTAAAAATATTTAAACAAAATATGTTTACATTCTCTTTTAAACCAATTGGACATTGATTCTTTGCTCTGTATTTATTAAACGGTAACTATTTTTAATAATGTTGATTATGATAATGGTTATTTTGCGATTTTAATTTCCTTTACATAGTTTGATTCAGTTCGCTGTTGGGAATCATGTCTCGGTTGTTTTGTATCTTGTTAATTGTTTTCCAAGACGAATAAATGAAATGAAATGAAATTAAATGAATTGTATTTAGACACATTAATTTCTTGAGTGCTGCAGAATACACTAAAAAATAATGAAATCTCTCGTCGTATTTACGCATAATTGTTTTCTTAAGTGCTACCTAAATATGTGGGACGATTCCATTTTTTTCATCTTGTTCGAGGGCAAAAAATCAAATTTCCGTAACTCTGACTTTGTCCTTTGACCTTTCTTTCGAAAATGGAATGTCTTTCTGTCATTATTATGTACCATTTCACTACATTTTATGGTGATACATTCATTAAATTTTGTCTTATCTTGCATGCTAATAGACAGACAGAAAGACAGGCAGCAATGAATACAGAACTTATCGGAAGTAAAAATGATACTTTATTAATAATGGTGCTAAACAAATTATAGATAGTTATCTACCGAATTTGGATTTGAATTTGGTTGATGTGAAAGACCGTAAAGATTCCCTGCCCTTTTTTCCGAAAAGTGTACTATGTTTTTAATGTGCACATTTGGCATTGTACACGAGACCAATGACTTAAGCCGGACACTCACTGCGCCCGACGGTGTCAGGCCGAAGCAATTCTATGAAGAACGCAACGCAACGCAAACTGATCGTTTTTAATGACGATCCGCTGACAATCAGCAGACGGCGTTGCCTGGCCTAGCGATCACAGGGAGCGGAGTTGGATTCGTCGTGCGAGGGTCGTACGACCGTCGTACGACGCAGTGAGTACCCGGCTTTAGACGTCTCGTTCAAAAAAAAAATCCAAAAAACCCCCCCCCCCCCCAAAAAAAAACGGTGCGCTATTGTAGACTTGTATATACCGTAACAGCCGTTCCAAAACTCTATTATACGCCGCGGCGCTTATTGGAACATTACGACAGCTCAATAATCCTAAATTAATAATTACGATGCCCTCTTACAATATGACAATACAATACAACTTAGAACTATTAACTAGTTATTTTTGTGTATGCGCAGCCTATACGGTTGCAAATGATTAATTTAAATTCAAAGAAATATTGTATTGGTGTTCGAGATATTCTTTATTCCATAGGCTTGTTTACGCTCGAATCGTGAAGTTGTAGTGTAATTATGGCGCGCCTTTGCAATAACATTGAAGGTACGATAGATTAGAGTTGAAGAAGGAGGATATTGTTAATATATAATGCTCGTGAGTCTTTTGATATTACGATTTCAAGGTGAATTAATAATTGGCCTCCAGCGATAGCAAGTTAATGAATTGAAGAGTATAGAATTACAAGAGGTCCGTCTGCCATAATTTTTTATGCACAATGAAACCAAAGATGCTAGAAACACAATATAAAGTTCTCCACAGAAAAAAAACTGTTCCACCGAAATACATGGTGGGAATACAAACAATTGGGCACCGCGTACGGCTGGATCTAAAAAAAAAACTTACCGTTACAAAACTGTGAATACATAATCTCCTTTATCCACAAGATACAAACAAGTAGGCATAAATAAATCAAAACAATAAATGACAGACACAAAAGCGCAGAATCGTATGACCGGATTCTGATTAGTAATGAAGTTTTCCTCCATTAGTGGTCAGATCCGTAGATAGAGAGAGTTTGGCCAACTCGGTTTCAATCACGTGACTTACACCGGCCATGTTGTCACCAAAACAAAACAACGCGATAGGGTAGGAAGTTAGCAGTTATTATAGATGATTAATGCTATATAATGTGAAATACCGTTATGTTGGGTTTGGGGTTGCTGCAATCGATCCAACAAAGAAACGAAAATGTATTAATTTCCTTAAATTCCAAAAAGGAGGTGGATTTGGGATTTTATTTTAACTTTGCATGGCGATCGAATAATCTCGCTATCCACGTAGTAAATTATAAGGCATGTACCGCCAGCCCCACTTCGCGGTAATAATATATCCACCTACTACTACTAGGCCTAGACAGGCCTAAATTTCGGTACTTCTTCGGCCGAACTCCTTAAGGTAGTACTTAAATCAGCTTAATTACGATGATAATTTAAAAAAAAAAGGAAGAATTTTCAAGCAGCAATGATTTATAAAAAGATGCAATGTTGTACTTTGCTGTTAAATTATATAACTAAATTTCCAGAAAGCTACATGAATGAAGTATCAGTCAAAGGTAGCTTAAATTATAATTAAAAATAAAAATTGAATCCTCCAATAAAAGCGAAAACTTGTCCAAGGAGTCCTGTGCTATGCAAACATGCCCAATTGTGCTTTACACTCAATTAATTGTGCAACTAAAGATTTTAAAGATAAAAATATATTTTAAAGATATAGGCCTAATTGTATTATAATATATTGATTGTTTTAATACATATTTTAAATCAAAACTTTTAAATGTTTTACAAATTACAAATCAAATTTTCAATGAATAGTAAATAATGAATAATAAATAATAATAATAATAATAATAATAGTAATAATAATAAATAATAATAATACAGTAATAATGATAATATTATAACTCACAAATATTATAAACAGAAGTGTGGAGAATGCTGCTATTTTACTTACAAGGCCTAGCTTCTTGATTATGAATGATTAGGCATATGTTGTACAAAAATTTCTCTCAATGCAATAATTCTTCAACTTTGATTTATTGTTTAGATTACAATTTACAAATAGGCCTAGGCTATTTGTTGGTTTGAAGATGCCCGGCATATTTTATTTCATAAATAAATTAAAGTTTACGGAAGTCATAGGCCTAGAGGCCTAGATACAATTAGAAAACTTTCATGTTATTAATATTTTTGTCATTCATTTACAGGCGAAATTAACATATTATCGCCGACGATTCACAAACCTACTCTGTCTGCACAACCAACCTTTCTCCTCTGCAATGACTCTTAGGAGCCTCATGCTATATAGAGAGGAGGATGCTAGCAACTAACTAGGTATAGGCCTAGGCCTAGATGATAGACTTTCAAAACAAAAAGATAATCGTAACGAAAAAAAAAATATAGAATCGTCCTCACTTTATCTTCTCGAAATAATACAGCACGTCACTGATTAATTAATTCCAAAGTTAGGTAAATATGATTATACAGTATATGATATTTACAATGATATGTTAAAATCCCATAATTGAATTGTCCTCATGAACAGAATAATGAAAGAAGGTTTATGCAGAATCAGTGTTTTATAAAATGTTATAAAGCTATACGCGCGCACGCTGTTTGGTGACAACATGGCGTCCATTCGCCAAGTTGGCCAAACTCTCTCTATCTACGGCTCTGTTAGTGGTAAAAGAAGGGCGCCGTGTGCGTCTGGATATAGGCTACTTAGCCAGAGCCATATATATAATAATATAATTAATATATATAATAATATAATATAATTTCTATCTATGGTTAGCTCTGTACTTAGCAAAAAAAGGGTGCCCTGTACGTCGGGCCCAAGTATACTTGCATTATAAAAAAGCTTTGGTGATATACAATCTATAGGCCAGGAGAAATGATACAGATAGCTTCATAGAAATTTATCTATAGAAACGAATAGGCGTTCTGCCGCCTAGAGTAATGACCGGCTAATATCCACTGCCTTAATTTAAATATAATTAATTATTATTAGACACAGGAAAAGACCCCTCTCATCACAATGATTTGGAAAATTCAGCTACAATGAATCAGTTATATATCGCCAACAAATCCGCAGACTCCGTCCACTTATTTAATTTTTTTATTTTTATTTTATTTCATCAAAGTCCAACAGTGACCAAAGTCACCCTTTACAGGATTGAATAGTAAACTAAATATAAATAGGTGAATATACAGTTACGATAAGTAAGAATAACTAAATATTACTAACATTGGACAAAACGTTTTGACGAAAACACATAAGAGAATCACAGAAAATGTCAATAGAAAAATCAGTTTTACATAAAGAATTGTATAACTTAGGCAGACGATTAATAAACCCATGGTTGGTAACTTAGTAACAGCACGTCCATATTCACAATTCTCTCCTCAACAACTCGGTCTTTCTTTACATAAAAAAAAAAAAAAAAATCAAGAGATAAAATTATTGTATTTAGTGTCTCTCCTCAACAACTCGGTCTTTCTTTACATAAAAAAAAAAAAAAAAAAAAATCAAGAGATAAAATTATTGTATTTAGTGTTTCTAACTTCTTAAACTTTCACTGTAACCTTGTATTTATAGTGCAATTTGTATTTTTTATATTTTGTATGTTTTTTCTTTTTGTACAGTATTTATTATGGGAAAATTGAGGGCGCCCAAATTTGTAATTTGACAATAGAGGCGAGGCACGGTTTTCCTTCTCTCATCGATCTGATTTACAGCTTAATCTGAATTTAAATTCTGTAATAAACATAGTATTAAATCATTAGATTTAGTCTTAAAATTTTACGAGTATCTCGTATCAATTATTTCATTTTTAAATCCGTATTTTCCAGCAACTGCCTACGCCAAAAATTGAACGAAACCAAAAATGCATGGTTTACTTTTATGCATCCACCATCTACTTAATCACAACAGATACAGATACAGGTACAGATTAAATTTATTGTCAAATGTACATGTAAACATACAATGAAATAGTATCGGCTCCATGAACGAAATATAAATAATTTAAATAACAACTATACAGTGAGACAAACGTTTAATTTCTGGATACCAACCACGCATTTACAGCTTTGATGGCAGACGGAAAGAATGAAGCTCTTGATCTTGTACGAGATGCGTATGGGGTTTTGTAACGTTGCATGAGGCAAAAATGAGAATTACCGGGATGAAAAGGGTCACTGATAATGGACGTTGCCTTATTGATGATACGTTGATAATAGAGAATGTCTAATGAAGGTTGTTGTATACCGATTGTTCTATCAATCCTATTTTAAAATTTCTTTATCATCATAATTAGCATATTCATACCAAACTAAAAATGACTGAGTTATGACACTTTCAATGACTGATTTATAAAACTGACCCATTATTGTAGAACTTATACCAAACGACCGTAATCTAATTAAACAGAAGAGGCGCTGTTGTCCTTTTTTCCTACACCTACCTACCTGCTCAGTCCACTTTAAGTCGTTCTGTACATATATCCCTAAGAATTTATAATTCTCTACGAGTTCTACTTCCGTACCTGAAATGAATAATGGTCTATTAATATATCATGAAAACTTAATTGCGTTTTCAATATGATATTAGGACTTGAAGGCTTTGATTATTTCACTTCTATAAGGTAATGTCAATCAATTGTCATTAGACTGTATTTATTGCACAACTGATATTAGGAGCAACGCTGTTGACAGTGCGCATGCGCAGTATTTGTTCACCAGTCCTTGAGGTCTTGAGGTACGTGTATTCAAATAAAATGAATATCCTTACCAACGCTGTACTCTGTGGAGGTAAGATTTTTGCATATATCATAGTAGAAAAAATAGGTTATGCATTATTGTATCATGACTGGTGCTGTTGATAAGTTTGCTGATGTCGGAAGCAGTGATCAAATAGGAAAGAAAACTAAATCATAATGGTTACATTATTACCAATAATGCACATTGATACAACCAATGAATACATATTGGATATATTTAGTATATTTTCATAACATTTTTGTTATTATTATTATGCGTATCATGGTTATCATTATCAACTTTATCATTATTATTTTTATTATTATTACTATTTACCCTGATATTATTATTATTATTATTATTATGTTAATCATCATAAAATCATATTTAAGCATATACTTGTAGCACATTTACATCAAATTAATTGCTACCATAATAACGCTATTGTCCATATTAATAATTATTAATAATAATAATAATCAATACTATAATATTATTATTATGTTGATCAACATTATAAACATAATGTATAAATATAACATACCAATTTAGTAACTAATAGCTGGAATAAAATTATTAACGAAAATTAGAAAAATCCTTAAAACTGCTGAGCAAATAAAAAAAAACCCTAATTAGCATGAGGGATAACTTTCCAGATACTTTAAACATTTCCCAGTGCACAATGCAGTTATATAATTTAATTTCTGTGTACCTGTTAGCTTCATTTGTTGCAAATTTATACTTCTCGTATATCGATGTATTGTATTTCTCTGACTTTATTTAGGTGCTTGTGCTTATGTTTTTTTTAACAGTTCAGTTTTATGAATGCCAATAAAGAAAACTGAATTATTATTCCCACACTACTAATAATATTATAATTGTTATTAGAGTGTTAGTACTATTTATGGCTGTATGAGAGGGTGAGTCGACATTCAAATACCCGTGACTTACCTCGTCTTCCCTAAACCCTGTCGATTATCACATTTGCTTTGACAAAAACATGTAACATGTCTAAATATGGTTATGATGACATCACATTATGACCAAATACAGGAAAATCATGATTATATATGGGCATACAACTTTTTTTGTCAAAGAAAATTTGATAGTGTGGAAGAGCTTTAATAATATTGTTATATTTTAGTAGTATTTGAATTTTTTTCCCTTACAGTACATAATTGTGGTGATATATTGATCGCAAACCAGATAAATTTGATTACACATTACATTACCTGATAATTCACTCCGCCTTTTCTAAATGGTGATCAACGTTTGAACGTCAATAGAAAATCATAAAATTGAGGCACGTATTGTGGGAGGGATATATATATATATATATAGAGAGAGAGAGAGAGAGAGAGACCCATAGAAGTACGTGCGCTGAGTTAACACGGGTGTTTGTATCGTTACATCAGAGTTACAGCCATTCTAAGGTACTTGTATTTGCCAATGTACTCATTGCTTGGCGAACTTAGATACCGTACGTTTTCCCACCTTCTGCATTGTTGTAAGTAACATTTTACCGATTCTTTATTTATTTAAATGTATTGTTATTTTCTACAATTAAAAACGAAAGAAAAATGTCAGGACCGTATTTTCTTTCGTTTAAAAAAAAATGGTGTTTTGATTAAATTTAAACATTATATTGTATGTTATGAATCCGCTTAGACTATAATAGGCTAAACGGATTTATAACATAAAATATAATATATTAAATGCTTGCGGTGCACCACGTAGAGAGTTCTGAAAAGAACTGTTGTTTTGTTGAGAATGTCTCGACGTTTCGATTGAGTTGCTTTAATTGTCATCAGGAGAATAATATCTGCAGAGTCCAAATAGGGAAAATTATATATTTTTTAAATGTGAGACTTGCTGCTGATAACAATATAATGTTCAAAATCGATTAAAACGGCATAATTTTTATACATTTATTTTTATAAAATTGCTAGTATGAAAAAGACTCATGAAGCTTAGGAACAGGTGTTGTAAGATAACCTATAATTTGCCTGATTAAAAGGCTAAGATTGGAAACCAGTCATCTTTCAAATACCCCCTTTGAATATGCTTTTTTAAAATTTACTGGTATACTATTAATAAACAATTATTGTAATGCACGATATTATTAAATATTTATCTTTTGTTCATCATTTATGTAATATTTATCACCATCATCATCAAGATTATTATCATCATCATTATCTTTAGTATCACTGTCGTGGTCGTGTAATAATGACCGCAAATTAAAAACTTTTAGGTCATATATAGAGATAAAGGTCGGTTTGATGAAACTATGAACAGGAACTAATACCAAGGGTCAACAGAAACGACGTTGACTGATGACATTAAGATTTTGAAGGGGAATAACAATTGGGAGCAGATCAATAATAATAATAAGATCCAGATAGATCATTAAGGCCGTTCTCCACTATAGGCGTATTTGGGCGAATCGGAAATTTTGACCCATACGCATGTGCAATTGAGAATCTCGTTATGAAAATTAAACTGCACATGCGTATAGAAGAAAACGGCCTTTATGCAGAAGACCCTGTCATAAGATTCAAGATTAAAATAGAAAAAACACGATATTGATTGTAATACACATAATAAAATATAAACATAAATTTGAATTACTCCGCAAGATTAAAAGTTAGAAAAGAAATTTACATTACACGTTCAATGCCATTAACCATACGGTCTTAAATATAACATCGAACACTAAAAAGAGAATAAAATGTGAAGAAACTTATAAATAAAACAAGCTTTTTGCAATATGTTAAGACTCTTAAAACTATCTTCGAACTGTTAATTTAATTATATTAATTCAACCAAGTTGAACACAAATTATAAATATGGATAGTATTAATTAAGAACTACTATTTAGCTTTTCTCATACCGGTATCATTATTTTTTTTTTAATTACAGCTAATCTCTATGAAGCAGCCATGAAAATGTGGAAGATCATAAGCTTGGTCTTGCTTCTTACTGTCTGCAAAGCATGTGCACGACGAGGTAAACAGTGTAATATTATATACTGTACGCGCTTGCGTAACTGCACACAACACAATTAAAAGCAAAAAATTGCTTGAGCTGCTAATAACTTTGGACAATGAAGTTCCTTATTGGAATTGATTCAATTATGAACGTACATTGTTTCGGCGGTCGAGAAAATATGTGTCTTGACAGTGAGCCGTGTTGTACACCAGGTCAATTTATTTATATGATGTGACCTAAAGATTTTAAAATATTGCTTCGATTCTGAATGTGATTATTTTTCTATTCTGATTTTATGTCTATTTTTTAGATGTAATGTAATATTTTAACAATTAAATTCAATTCAATTCAGTAAAAAATGTATTAAGTAATTCTCTCAAAATACAAAAGAAGTGACCAAGGAGCACACAGAAGAAAACAATTTCGGTCGGTGTTTATCCCTTAACACAAAAAACAAAGAAGAAATTACCAAAACAATTAAAAAAAAACTCAAAAACTAAAAAAAAGATAAATCAATTGTACCAGTCAATCAGTCGATCGGTATTTATTTCAATGTATAATGTTTATAATTCAGAAGAAGTACCCACTATTCGCCGACGGTTTCCTTTTTGACAATTTCTGCCTATTTTGTGTAGAATATTTAATAAATAAATAAATATACTGAAGAAAATAATTGTAAATTCATATTTTGAGTTTTAGATAAGTTGTTCTATATAATACGTATAATTCACTATAGCAAAAGTTATACCGGTATTAAATTTGGTTTACATATTATGATTATAAGTGTTTTCGATGCAAAGTATTGTTGTAAAGCTGTTTTTCAGAATTGATAGGAAAACCAAAAAAAAATGATTGATTAATTTAATGAGTAGTTGGTTGGTTGCTTAATTGTGGATTGATCGATCAACTGATGGATTGACTGATTGATTAATTAATCGATCGATTAATTTATTGATCGAATGACTGATTGAATAATAACACAAATTTACGTTCGTGCAGGATGTGAGACATCATCGAAGGTCGGAGATTACAGGTTTGTTAGTTTGTCCAACGGCAACCTAGGTTTTGATCTGAGAAAGGCAGCATCGGTTTACGTTTCAGCGAATATGAGTCTTGAGGGAAATGTTATCAAATTATCACTTAATTCGACATCAGTGAAATTATTTTATGATGGTCAATTAATAAGTTTCAAGAACGGCTCCTACGTGAATCTAGCTTTCTCGATTTGGTATAAAAGTCAGACGCTCTATGTTGCAGACGAAGGAGATAAACTCATTCTCTCGCACACTAATCAATCCATCACGTTGAAGTATTTCGCCTATAACCACTCCATGTTATCATGCTTTCATGAAGGTAAGCCTTGAAATAATACATAAAGATCTGTCCTGGCTACAACATTTTTTTGGGACAAAAAACCTGTTGTTTTGTAAAATATCATATGATAGTCTGGACAGGGTTCAAGATAGAGTTCTCGCATTGTAAAAATGAGGCGGAAGTCGTGCCCAACGTAGGCGACGCCCTTCTTTTTAACCATGCAAGTTTCCTATACTTCGTGCCCAACGTACAGGGCGCCCTTCAGTTGCTAAGTATATCCAGACGCAAAAGGCGCCCTTCCTTTTCCACTAATGGAGGAAAACTTTTTCAAAGAGTGCGTCCGGCCATGCCATTCTGCGCTGTATTGTTGTTTTATTCTTTACTGATTCATGCTTATGCTTTAATTGTTTTGTGTATTATTTGGATAATAGCAACGA